AAACCATTAACATTAATAGTTACACATCTAAGAGTTTTTAAACCATTAACATTAATAGTTACACATCTAAGAGTTTTTAAACCATTAACATTAATAGTTACACATCTAAGAGTTTTTAAACCATTAACATTAATAGTTACACATCTAAGAGTTTTTAAACCATTAACATTAATAGTTACACATCTAAGAGTTTTTAAACCATTAACATTAATAGTTACACACGTAACTTCACCAAAGGAGATTTTCCTCTAGGGGCCACCACACCCTTTTTCTCTTTGCGTCGGCAAGCACTTGATTGTAGCCATGTATAAACGTAAGTAACCATTCTTACAGGATTCATTACCTTTGTAACTTGTGAGTTCATTACCTTTGTACCTAGTTCAGCTATCAAAACTTTGGGGGCCCAGTTCCTGGACCCATTACGTACCTCTGTAATCTGTAAATACCTTTGTAACTTGTCATGATTGTGACTAGACCTACCTGGAGTTCATTACCTTTGTAAATTGTGAATTCATTACCTCTGTAACTTGCTCAGCTATCAAAACTTTGAGGCCCATTCCCTGACATTATGTACCTTGTAAATTTATTACTACCGCCCACAGGAATGGTAATGTGGTGACTACCCGCCCACAGGATGGTATGTGTGACTACCGCCCATAGATGGTATTGTGTGACTACCGCCCACAGGATGGGTATGTGGTGCATAAAAATCTATTACTAACTCCCGCCTGAACACTCACAAAGGCACTACACGGCACAGAATCTACTCCATGTGTGACACGCTAAATGGTTCTCAATGTAGATACAATATTAGCCCTATGTCAAACTGACTCTCTTGCTAAGAAGGAATCATACTCATGCACCAAAAGGCTTCATCAGCGTGCCCTCTGCTAGAGGATCCACCTCACGTTCCACTATCATGGTGACACTCCCAGGTAGTCACACAAGATGACTCGACTAGCATGGCCCGATCAACCTCAGCACTCCACTATGTCAGGTGCGGCAAGTCCTCGACGACTTCGTCTTCCGGAGTCTGACGGGTAACCTCGCCGTCCGGACGACGACCACGTCCCGAGGGCGGCTGGCGCTGAACACTTTGTTGCGATGTGATCCAAAGCGCCGCAGAGAGTAGTAGTAAGTTCGTCTCGTTTTCAACTCGTGATGTTAGCCACCTGGGATACGAAGAAATCATGCGTCTCGAGGACTATGTTAACGTTGATTACCTCTGGAGGTACCTTAGATCTTGTCCCCCAGATCGACCGAACGTCGACTAACTCTCTCTTAGTACCGTATTTGCTGTCGTAACAGGTCAACAGGTAGTGTTAACGTTATTCGGAAGTAATTGCCAATGCGGGGACATCGATACCCGGGCCCTCCTTGTGACAGTCGGACTTAGCCACGTGCCATGGGAAAGTTCAAGTCTTCGTCCGGATTACCCGGTAGGAGTTAGCCACCAGGAACCGAAATCATCTTCAGACTGTCCTAATATAGCGTCTGCCACTTGGTCTATGGACTTTGTCAGTCCCAGATCGACCGAAACGTCGTCTAACTATCTCCAGTGCGGGTATTTGCTGTACCGTGAATCAGGTCAACATTGTGCCTTAATTGATATTTGTTATTTACGAAGAATTGCGCTACTCGAGGGAATTCAACGTGCGGACCCTCTTGAGACAGCTAGAGACCGCTTAGCCATCGACCCAGGGCTCTGGATCTTCCAGAACGTTCAAAGCGTCACGTATGTCGACTTCATTGGCCTCAAAAGGCACGTTTCGCACACGTACCCACGTATAGTATCTTGAAACGTCGTGCAACTGAACAGTGACTGCTGGGGTGACTTGCTTGCTAACATCCTGGTAATGGTCGACAATCTGCTCATAATTCTGAGTATTATTATTATTATAATCAAGGGGGAAGCGCTAAACCCGGAGGATTATACAGCGTCCTGGGGGGGGGGATGTGGAAGGCATTCAGGCTTAATTCGGGGAACTGGAGCACAGATCCATTCCCTAAATCAAGAGCCCCTCACCAACGTCAAGGAACCTTCCTTGGTAGTCCTGAAGACCACTCATTATTTTGATAATGACAGCCTGGTTGATCAGGCTTTGATCCACCAGGAGGCCTGGTCACAGACCGGGCCGCGGGGGCGTTGACCCCTGGAACTCTCTCCAGGTAAACTCCAGCGTCCACTCGGCGGGAGTCCTGAAGATCTGTCATTACTCTGTAGTCCAGCTAAGATTGATGTTAGTGGTGAGGTCCCCTCGACGGAGTTCTGAAGGCTTCATTTATTGCATGAATTACGGCTGAGATTTATTTCGATGGTGAATTGGCCAATCTGCGGTGTCATGAAGTGGCCAATCTGCGGTGTCATGAAGTGGCCAATCTGCGGTGTCATGAAGTGGCCAATCTGCGGTGTCATGAAGTGGCCAATCTGCGGTGTCATGAAGTGGCCAATCTGCGGTGTCATGAAGTGGCCAAGCTGCGGTGTCATGAAGTGGCCAATCTGCGGGTGTCATGAAGTGGCCAATCTGTCGGTGTCATGAAGTGGCCAATCTGCGGTGTCATGAAGTGGCCAATCTGCGGTGTCATGAAGTGGCCAATCTGCGGTGTCATGAAGTGGCCAATCTGCGGTGTCATGAAGTGGCCAATCTGCGGTGTCATGAAGTCACTTGTTGCAAAAAATGCGTTAGTCTTAGTTAACACAGTATGAAGTGAACCGCTCGGTGGGATCCAGAAGATCCGTCATACCAGTGTTAGCTAAGATGTATAGTGTGAACAAGGTCGGAGATCCTCTCAACGGAGTCTTGAAGATTTTCACATTGCCCTTCACGCTGTTAAGAGGGGAAGATATGAACTGTTCCCAAGAGGGTAAGTAAGTAAGTATTATTCAGGTATACACAAATACAGTTACATAGAATTATCATACATAGCAGCATATGTGTAGAGAACCTAGGATAACCCAAAAAAGTCAGACAGAGTGACTTATTTCCATTGGGGTCCTTTGTGGTTGATTCACTCGGCAGAGTCTTAAAGCTTTCCAAAGTCCTCTTGTTGAGTAAGTGTTTACAAACACTTAGAAGAACTTACAATATGAGTGTTCAGTTTTGTTCACCATGTACCTCAGAGGGACCTGATCTTTATAGAACCATCAGGAAGAAGTGTAGTTGGGACGGTGGACTAGGCCCTTTGGGGGAAACCCACCTGAAAAAAAAAACGAGCCATGATGTCTACCTCTCGGGTGGTTTGGAAAAGACATCAGGAACTCAAAGAGCAGCCACCTTCACGAGGTGAGTTCTGGGAATTTTGCAACACTGGTGGTAAAATATCAGTCAAACAAAGCAGCTGAGAGCTGCTTGCAGTGTAGGTTGTTTATATCTCAACATGACTCAAGAAATCGTAATGACACGATTGCAAACATACCATAGCACAGGCGGGGATAGAACCCGCGATTAGAGAGTCATAGAACTCCAGACCGAAGCGTTAGTTGGATGAATCTTATTGTAGCCAGCTGGCCCAGGGGCTAATGCGTCGGTCTGGAGTTTTATGACTGATCGCGGGTTCTATCCCCGCCCGTGTGATAGTGTTGTATATGGGATCATATATGACCGAATAATTCCACAGGCACTGTACGATCCCTTAGAATTTAGTGCTCACCAGGGAATATAATACTATTAACAAACGAGATGACAATTATGATAAACAAAAAGTGATTGTCGATATCTGGAGTATACCTGGAGAGGTCTCGACCAGAGCACCAGGGAGATTGTGACTATGTCTCGTGTTGTTAGGTAAGACACATATGCAACAGTTAGGTATCTTTATTTCGAAACGTTTCGCCTACACAGTAGGCTTCTTCAGTCGAGTACAGAAAAGTTGATAGAAGCAGAAGATACTTGAAGACGATGTAATCAGTCCATCAGTCGACTATGTCTCGTGTTGTGTAGAAGACTAGATGGGCTAGACATGACCAAGTCTGGAGAGGTCTCGACCAGAGCATCAATGTGATCGTGGCTATGTCTAGTGTTGTCTAGAAGACTAGGTCTGGTAGACATGACCAAGTCTAGAGAGATCTCGACCAGTTGTAGTGTGAACTTTTTGATTAGGTCAGTTTGGACTTGTGGAGTAGTTTGAGGTAACCAATACCTCAGCCTTTGTGAATCAATACAGCTTAATGTATCCTGTTTGGCTTCAAGGCGAGGCTTTGGTTGTAATTTAAGAAATATTTTGGGGGGAAATGGAGGGATGGTAGTTAGGAAAGGGGTAATATTCCATTAAGGGGAGAAGTGCCGCTGTTGCCTCGCTGGGAGGGTTGGTACCGATAAAAACAGTCAATAAATGGTTCAGAGAACCGACTAGTTGATAATTTAGACACGTGCAACATTTGAGTATATTTCTTGAGGAAACTGTCACACAGTGGCTTCATCAGTCCATACAAAGGAAAATGGTGAAGAACAGGAGTTTGAGAGGTAATCAGTCCCTCAACCCTGAGTCGATAAAGATACCCAAGTGTTGCACATGTCCAATATATCAAGAAAACATTCGTTGGGAGAGTTTATACCGACGAAGTCGCTGGAAGATAAGTCAAGAACCCCAATGGAAATGTCTCTTAGTCTGACTTTTTTCAGTTATCCCAGGTTCTCTACACATACGCTGCAATGTATGATAATCTATGTATTTGTGTATATCTGAATAAACTTACTTATACCGATAAAAGCAGTCGCTGGGAGAGTTTATACCGATAAAAACAGTCGTTGGGAGAGTTTATACCGATAAAAACAGTCGTTGGGAGAGTTTATACAGATAAAAAAAAAGTAGCTGGGGAGTTTACAGTAAAAAAAGTCACTGGGAGAGTACACTGACAAAACCAGTAGCTGGAGGAGTTTTCACCGACAAAAGCAATCACGGAGAGTTTACACTGACAAAAACAGTCGCTGGGAGAGTTTACACCGACTAAAACAGTCGCTAGGAGAGGTTACAGTGAAAAAAGCATTCGCTGGGAGAGTTTACCTCTACTTCAGAAGGTAAACAAAAGCTTTCCCGAGGAAGTGAGTCAGAGAAGACAACTGATACAACATTATTACCACCCAGATAACCTTATTACCACCCAGATAACTTTATTACCACCCAGATAACCTTATTACCACCCAGATAAGGTTGTTAGAGGCGAGATATCCTGGTAATGATGCCTCAGTGTTGTGTAACAATCACAGAGAACATGCCAGCTATATGTGAGAACTGGGACGCTGGTGAGAGAAGGAACTTTATGGCGGCTGTTACTTCTGGTGCTATGGTATGTTAACTTTGTTAATGTTAACTTGTTAATGTTAACTTTATGGCTGCTGTTACTTCTGGTGCTATGGTATGTTAACTTTGTTAATGTTAACTTTGTTAATGTTAACTTTATGGCGGCTGTTACTTCTGGTGCTATGGTATGTTAACTTTGTTAATGTTAACTTTGTTAATGTTAACTTTATGGCGGCTGTTACTTCTGGTGCTATGGTATGTTAAACTTTGTTAATGTTAACTTTGTTAATGTTAACTTTATGGCGGCTGTTACTTCTGGTGCTATGGTATGTTAACTTTGTTAATGTTAACTTGTTAATGTTAACTTTATGGCTGCTGTTACTTCTGGTGCTATGGTATGTTAACTTTGTTAATGTTAACTTGTTAATGTTAACTTTATGGCGCTGTTACTTCTGGTGCTATGGTATGTTAACTTTGTTAATGTTAACTTGTTAATGTTAACTTTATGGCTGCTGTTACTTCTGGTGCTATGGTATGTTAACTTTGTTAATGTTAACTTGTTAATGTTAACTTTATGGCTGCTGTTACTTCTGGTGCTATGGTATGTTAACTTTGTTAATGTTAACTTTGTTAATGTTAACTTGTTAATGTAACTTAGGCTGCTGTTACTTCTGGTGCTATGGTATGTTAACTTTGTTAATGTTAACTTGTAATGTAACTTTATGGCGCTGTTACTTCTGGTGCTATGGTATGTTAACTTTGTTAATGTTAACTTGTTATGTTAACTTTATGGCGGCTGTTACTTCTGGTGCTATGGTATGTTAACTTTTATGTTATTTTAATGTTAACTTTATGGCGGCTGTTACTTCTGGTGCTATGGTATGTTAACTTTGTTAATGTTAACTTTATGGCGGCTGTTACTTCTGGTGCTATGGTATGTTAACTTTGTTAATGTTAACTTTATGGCGGCTGTTACTTCTGGTGCTATGGTATGTTAACTTTGTTAAAGTTAACTTGTTAATGTTAACTTTATGGCTGCTGTTACTTCTGGTGCTATGGTATGTTAACTTTGTTAATGTTAACTTTGTTAATGTTAACTTTATGGCGGCTGTTACTTCTGGTGCTATGGTATGTTAACTTTGTTAATGTTAACTTTATGGCTGCTGTTACTTCTGGTGCTATGGTATGTTAACTTTGTTAATGTTAACTTTATGGCTGCTGTTACTTCTGGTGCTATGGTATGTTAACTTTGTTAATGTTAACTTTATGGCTGCTGTTACTTCTGGTGCTATGGTATGTTAACTTTGTTAATGTTAACTTTGTTAATGTTAACTTTATGGCTGCTGTTACTTCTGGTGCTATGGTATGTTAACTTTGTTAATGTTAACTTGTTAATGTTAACTTTATGGCGGCTGTTACTTCTGGTGCTATGGTATGTTAACTTTGTTAATGTTAACTTGTTAATGTTAACTTTATGGCTGCTGTTACTTCTGGTGCTATGGTATGTTAACTTTGTTAATGTTAACTTTATGCTGCTGTTACTTCTGGGTGACTTGTATGTTAACTTTGTTAATGTTAACTTTATGGCTGCTGTTACTTCTGGTGCTATGGTATGTTAACTTTGTTAATGTTAACTTGTTAATGTTAACTTTGTTAATGTTAACTTTATGGCTGCTGTTACTTCTGGTGCTATGGTATGTTAACTTTGTTAATGTTAACTTTGTTAATGTTAACTTTGTTAATGTTAACTTTATGGCTGCTGTTACTTCTGGTGCTATGGATATGTTATACTTTGTTAAGTTAACTTGTTAATGTTAACTTTATGGCTGCTGTTACTTCTGGTGCTATGGTATGTTAACTTTGTTAATGTTAACTTGTTAATGTTAACTTTATGGCTGCTGTTACTTCTGGTGCTATGGTATGTTAACTTTGTTAATGTTAACTTTATGGCTGCTGTTACTTCTGGTGCTATGGTATGTTAACTTTGTTAATGTTAACTTTGTTAATGTTACTTGTAATGTTAACTTTATGGCGCTGTTACTTCTGGTGCTATGGTATTGTTACTTTGTTAATGTTAACTTTGTTAATGTTAACTTTATGGCTAGCTGTTACTTCTGGTGCTATGGTATGTTAACTTTGTTAATGTTAACTTGTTAATGTTAACTTTATGGCTGCTGTTACTTCTGGTGCTATGGTATGTTAACTTTGTTAATGTTAACTTTGTTAATGTTAACTTTGTTAATGTTAACTTTATGGCTGCTGTTACTTCTGGTGCTATGGTATGTAACTTTGTTAATGTTACTTTGTTAATGTTAATCTTTATGGCGCTGTTACTTCTGGTGCTATGTGGTATTGTTATAACTTTTGTTTACCATGGTTAACTTTTAATGTTAACTTTATGGCTGCTGTTACTTCTGGTGCTATATGTTAATTTGTTATGTTAACTTTATTGTTACTTTGTCTATGTTAACTTTGTTAATGTTAACTTTAGGCTGCTGTTACTTCTGGTGCTATGGTATGTTAACTTTGTTAATGTTAACTTGTTAATGTTAACTTTATGGCTGCTGTTACTTCTGGTGCTATGGTATGTTAACTTTGTTAATGTTAATTTGTTAATGTTAACTTTATGGCGCTGTTACTTCTGGTGCTATGGTATGTTAACTTTGTTAATGTTAACTTTGTATAGCTGTGTTACTTCTGGTGCTATGGTATGTTAACTTTGTTAATGTTAACTTTATGGCTGCTGTTACTTCTGGTGCTATGGTATGTTAACTTTGTTAATGTAACTGTTAATGTTAACTTTATGGCTGCTGTTACTTCTGGTGCTATGGTATGTTAACTTTGTTAATGTTAACTTGTTAATGTTAACTTGTTAATGTTAACTTTATGGCTGCTGTTACTTCTGGTGCTATGGTATGTTAACTTTGTTAATGTTAACTTGTTATGTTAACTTGTTAATGTTAACTTATGGCGCTGTTACTTCTGGTGCTATGGTATGTTAACTTTGTTAATGTTAACTTTGTTAATGTTAACTTTATGGCTGCTGTTACTTCTGGTGCTATGGTATGTTAACTTTGTTAATGTTAACTTTATGGCTGCTGTTACTTCTGGTGCTATGGTATGTTAACTTTGTTAAGTTAACTGTATTTAACTTTATGGCTGCTGTTACTTCTGGTGCTATGGTATGTTAACTTTGTTAATGTTAACTTTGTTATTATACTTTATGGCGCTGTTACTTCTGGTGCTATGGTATGTTAACTTTGTTAATGTTAACTTTGTTAATGTTAACTTTATGGCGCTGTTACTTCTGGTGCTATGGTATGTTAACTTTTATGTTAACTTTATGTAATTGTTAATGTTAACTTTATGGCTGCTGTTACTTCTGGTGCTATGGTATGTACGTTATTACTTTGTTAATGTTAACTTTATGGCTGCTGTTACTTCTGGTGCTATGGTATGTTAACTTTGTTAATGTTAACTTTATGGCTGCTGTTACTTCTGGTGCTATGGTATGTTAACTTTGTTAATGTTAACTTTATTAAGTGTTACTTTATGGCTCTGTTACTTACTGGTGCTATGGTTAGTTAACTTTAATGTTAACTTTGTTTATGTTAACTTTATGGCTGTTACTTCTGTGCTATGATATGTTAACTTATGTTATGTTAACTTATGTTAATGTTATACTTTATGGCGCTGTTACTCTGGCTATGTATGTTAACTTAGTTAAGTTACTTTATGGCTGCTGTTACTTCTGGTGCTATGTATGTTAACTTTGTAATGTTAACTTTATGGCTCGCTGTACTCTGTACTATGGTATTAACTTATAGTTAAGTTAACTTATCTGCTTTACTTCTAGTTGCTAGTATTTAACTATATAGTAATGTACTATATAGGCTGCTGTTACTTACTAGTAGCTATGGTAGTAACTATTGTACTAATGTTACTTATGCTGCTAGTACTACTTCTGTAGCTAGTATGTAACTTTGTTATGTAACTTTATGCTATGTTACTATTACTGTGCTATGTATGTACTAACTTGTTACATAGTTAACTTTATGCTGCTGTTACTTACTGTGCTATAGTTACTTTACTTACTTTATCTCTGTTACTCTAGCTATGTATAGTTAACTTTAGTTAATTATACTACTTTAGCTCTGTACTACTTCTGGTCTATGTATTTAACTTATGTTAATTAACTTTATCTACTAGTCTACTACTATGCTATGGTACTTAACTTGTTAATATTAACTACCTACAGCTCTAGTACTTCTTCTATGTATATTATTTATACTTATTATTATACTTATTATACTATTACTTAGTAGTATATAGTAGTATATAGTATTATATGTAGTGTTATACTACTAGTAGCTTACTAGTGGTATATATAATACTGTAGTATACTACTACTGCTAGTAGTAGTATAGTAGTATTACTAATAGTTATACTAGTACAGTAGTACTAGTAGTAGTATAGTAGTATAGTACTAGTATACTTATATATAGTATAGTACTAGTAGTACTAGTATTATACTAGTATAGTACTAGTACTACACTACTAGTACTACTACTACTACTACTAGTACTACACTACTACCACCTACTACTACTACTATACTACTAGTACTAACTAGTACTACTACTACTAGTACTATACTACTATACTACTACTTACTAGTACTACTATCTACTTACTATACTATAGTACTACTATACTAGTACTAACTATACTATTACTACTACTACTCACACACTATACTCTATCTACTATTACTACTACTACACTAGTACTACTACTGTACTACTACTAAGTACTACTACAGTACTACTACTATACTACACATACTAGTACTATACTACTAGTACTACTATACTTGTATATTTTACTATGTACTACTACTACTATACACTACTTACTAGTACTACTACTAGCTCTACTACTAGCTACTACTATATGTATACAAACTACTCACCACTACTATATACTACTTCATCTACTACTACTACTATTACTACTCTATACTACTAACTACTAGTACTACTACTAGGTACTACTACTACTATACTACTATACTATTACTACTAGTAACTACTATACTATACTCGCTCTGCTACTGCTACTACTAGTACTGTTACAAATATTACTATTACTATTATTACTACTTTTGCTACTACTACTGTTACTGTTATACTGTTATTATTACTATTACTACTATTAATAGGCCTGTTTTTTTATGCCAGATTTTGTATGGTCTTATATAGTTGGTCAACAGAGGTCATAGAAGCTGGGATTTTACTGAAGGAATATTTTGAAGATGACGGGCAAGTGTAACAACCCCGTTTAACCCGTAAACGGTCCAAACGTATATATACGTTTTTTCAACATTTGAAAGTATGTAAAAAAAGTAGATCTTCTTTTTGTTTTTTTACATTTGAAAATGTGTAAAAAAAACGAAGATCTACTTTTGTAGCTCTACGCATGTGAACGTAGATCTGCTTGGACCGTTTATGGGTTAAAAGCACCTCGTACCCTCTAATTCCCAGTTCATTCTTCTCTGTTGACTTCTCGTGCCTTTATGACTAAGACATATGTGCATCACTGGGGCATCTTTATTAATGATGTGTTTTGCCTGCACAGTAGGCTTTCTTCAGAAGTCTAGTTTTTTTTTTTCAACACTGGTAATATCTCACTAAGGCAGGGTGACCTGAGGAGAGAAACAAACATTTCTCTTATTAAATTTAGTAATGTATACAGGAGACGGGGTTACTAGTCCCTTGCTCCTGGCATTTTAGACACCTCTTACGACATGCATGGGTGATGGAGGAAGAAGTTTTTTACCTCTTACGACATGCATGGGTGATGGAGGAAGAAGTTTTTTACCTCTTACGACATGCATGGGTGATGGAGGAAGAAGTTTTTTACCTCTTACGACATGCATGGGTGATGGAGGAAGAAGTTTTTTACCTCTTACGACATGCATGGGTGATGGAGGAAGAAGTTTTTTACCTCTTACGACATGCATGGGTGATGGAGGAAGAAGTTTTTTACCCTTTACGACATGCAGGCCGTGATGTGAGGAAGAAGTTATTTACCTGCTTAACGACATGCATGGGATGACAGGAAGAAGTTTTTACCTCTTACGACATGCATGGTGTGATTGGAAAGAAGAAGTTTTTTTCCGCTTCTCTCTGTGAACGAAGCCATTTGTCGTACAGATAATAATATGCTCAATCTGTGACTGTAACATACTACAACACTTCTCATTCACGAGTAGGAAACCTGGTAGGAGGTCACGACCTTGAAACCATCAACCTTAAACTGCCCAAACGTAGATCTACGTTTTTTGAACATTTGAAATTATGTAAAAAAACGTAGATCTACTTTTGGAGCACTACGCATGTGAACATAGATCTGTCTGGACAGTTTAAGGGCTAACTAGCCACTTGTCGGTCTTGTATAGCATCAGTACTACAACACGTTGTGCCTTCCACCCACAGTTTGCCCTGGGCTGGTGGTTTGTCATCGACGCAGCTGCCAGATACCCCAGCACCACAGACTTCAATCATGCGTACCATGTGTGTGGAGTCATTGCCACTCTCGCCTTGCTTATGTAAGTCAGAATGGTACACAATGATCACTATTGTAAGAGAAAACGTGTTCAGTGTCTCCAGTCTCCACGTCACACTGGGGTGGCTTTTACTCATCATTAAATGATAACGATATCCATCGTAGTTTTTTATTAATAGTCATTGATAATGATTGCTAGATCAATATTTTTAACTGATATTTATAGATTATAATATTAAAAGTTATGGATTTAAATTTTTATTGGTAATTATAGGATTCCTTCCTGTTAGAGGCCTGGGTTAGCCTAGCGGGCAGAGTGTTGGACTGTTACTTTACGGACCCTAGTTCAGGCCTCTCATCCACTCTTCTGTTTATTCATAGATTAACCCGTAAACGGTCCAAGCAGATCTACGTTCACATGTGTAGTGCTACAAAAGTAGATCTTCGTTTTTTTTACATATTTTCAAATATAACAAAAAAAAAAGTAGATCAAAGTTTTTTTACACATTTTCAAATGTAAAAAAACAAAAAGAAGATCTAATTTTTTTACATACTTTCAAATGTTGAAAAAACGTATATATACGTTTGGACCGTTTACGGGTTAATCTAATTAGTTCTTTATAAATTAAAATTTAGCATTGATAATGACTGTCCTGAATTGTTAAGGGTAATTGACTATACTAGATAATGACTTCTCAACACCTGTGTACTGTGTAATTATCAGAAGACAATTAGAATTCAATTTGAAAACGTCTTTATGATCTGACGACTTGTAACCGACTCAAAATTTCCAGAGATATACGAGTCACATTCTGATTAGTTTTTTAAAATTGATTTTTTTTCCTTTTCTCTCCAACATATTTTTGTACATTGACGGAGACGATCTCTTATGTTGTTATATTTTATTCTTGAAGTGGGAGGTTAAGATAGATGATTCTGAATAAGACTAGGCCTTGTAAAGTTTACCTACTATACAAGACTAGGCCTTGTAAGGTTTACCTACTGTACAAGACTAGGCCTACACATATATAGTTTACATTAGTAATGTAATGCCTTACTTAATCACAGGGGATTTATATACTCTATTTACTGCATTATTTTTTTAGCAGATAAATCACTTCCCACCGAGGTGCGGCGACTAAACAAAACAACAAAACAATCAAAAGTTTATTTCTTTGCAAAGGTTACAACGTGTGTTTACATTTCATAATTTCAATGGTACAAAGAAAACCACTATCATGCCGAGGCATTTCGGGCAGACTTAATGTAATATAGCGTCTCCTCACTTAGCGACGTATCCTTTTACCAACGTCTCAGACTTACGACGGGCTCTCTGACCAGTATCCCTACCTAAATAGTGCATATTAGAGCTGATTGTCTCTATTCTGTTTATTACAATATACAGTACGCTACTGTATAAACACTTAAAACAATATCAAAGATGGTTGACACAAACCCACTACCATTATAGTATGCTCCTTGCTTAGCCACGAATTGGTTTACCAATGTTGTCTCAGGAACGGAACTCCATCGTTAAGTGGGGAGAGGCCGTACTTAACCCTTAAACGGTCCAAACAGATGATGTTCAAATTCGTAGCTACAAAAGTAGATATACTTTTTTTCACATATTTTCAAATATAACAAAAAAAAAAGTAGATAAAAGTTTTCTTTACACGTTTTCAAATGTAAAACAGAAAAGAAGATCTACATTTTTTTACATACTTTCAGATGTTGAAAAAACGTATATATACGTTTGGACCGTTTAAGGGTTAAAGACTACACGTACTTAATTCTAGACAAACACCTTCACCATCACTCAGTGGCTGCCTTGCCACAAACACACGGATATAACAGTTGAAACAACCTCTGAACTGAAGCATTCCCACCCATCCCGCACGGTGCGGGCATGTTTTCAATTGCATTCGCCAAAAATTGTACCCGTAGACGAGTTTTGTAAGACACTGGCATGCCTCTGGCAAGACAGTGATGGAGTGAGTGGTGATGAAGGTGTTTCTTCTTTTTCAGGTCGCCCTGCCTCAGTGGGAAATGGCCGATGTGTTAAAAAAAATTTTGATTCGAGTATGCAAACTGATCAATAGTTTGAAGGTTGTTAAAAAATACATGGATTTCAAACCAGGGAATGGGTGGGACTTGAACTCATGGCAAGTGAGAAGTAAAAATCCAGGCTAGTATGTTAACTGCTGGGCTAGCTGGCTATAATAAGACTCATCCAAGTAGGTACGTGTATACAGTGGACCCCCGCTTAACGATCACCTCCCAATGCGCCCAATTATGTAAGTGTATTTATGTAAGTGCGTTTGTACGTGTATGTTTGGGGGTCTGAAATGGACTAATCTACTTCACAATATTCCTTATGGGAACAAATTCAGTCAGTACTGGCACCTGAACATATTTCTGGAATGAAAAAATATCGTTAACTGGGGGTTCACTGTATTTCTATACCCCATGGGTCTCACTCACCATGAGTTCTAACCCCACCTGTTCCCTGGTTTGTTTGCAATAGTGTTGTTATGACTTCGTGAGACATTGATTTCTAATGTTTGATTTATTTTCAGGGTGAATACGGTTAGCAATGGGCAGGTGCGGGGCGACATGTACACCGATGGCTGCATTGGACCCTATGGGGCACGCATATGGCTCTTCCTCGGACTCATGCTCAGCTTTGGCTCTCTTATTGCTGCTTGTTGGATCCTCTTTGGAGGTTATGTCATTCCAAGTGAGTCTGTCCCTCCCTCTTCACGTAGTATGACAGGGCTCGAGGGGTCATTAACCAATAAGGACATTTGTAATTTAAGAAGTAGGGCCAGGAGCTATGACTCGACGCCTGCAATCACAACTTCCTGAGCTTCGGCACACTCAGTGCTGCTTGTTGGATCATCTTTGATGGTTATGTCATTACAATTGCGACTTTCCCTCAGTCCTTATCTCATAGCATTGCCAGACATTGTATGACAGGGCTTGAATGGTCATTCTAATAATAATAATAATACACCTACCATCCGACTTATGACCTGCTCGACTTACAACCACTGGACTTACGACCGTGTTTTTTATGCCAAATTTCTGGGAAATAAACCAGTATTTGTGTTGTACACAGTGTTTATGCTAAACCTTACAGTATAAAACACAGTACTAACAACATAAAAAGTAAAGTAAAACATGAAATACCAAAATAAAACAATAAAATAAAGTCATTACAAAAATGTGATGTTGATATTCAGTAGTAAAGTTCGACTTACGACCATTTCGACTTACGACCGGTTTCTCGGAACTGAACTCGGTCGTAAGTCGGATGGTAGGTGTAATAATAAAATAATAATAATAATAATATTTGTTTCAATTTGATACAGTGTTTGTGTAGAGATGGGTGACATTTAGGTGTACGTACAGAAAGGCCGTTGTTATGTAGAGCATTTTGGGCAGACCTAAGCCAAACTTAGGACTAAAATGGCAATAATTAATTGCTTATTCATATATACAGTGGACCCCTGGTTTACGATATTATTTCATTCCAGAAGTATGTTCAGGTGCCAGTACTGAACGAATTTGTTCCCATAAGGAATATTGTGAATTAGATTAGTCCATTTCAGACCCCCAAACATACACATACAAACGCACTTACATAAATACACTTACATAATTGGTCGCATTGGGAGCTGATCGTAAAGCGGGGGTCCACTGTATACATATATGGTCTCTAAGGGCTCATAAACAATAAATTTAGGAACTACAAGGAGAATAAACAAGCAGTCAATTGCTACTTAATAATTACAGGATTATAATGACAATTGTAGTTTAAGCAGCAGGGCCAGGAGCTAAAACATGACACCTGTGATCACAACTCCCTGAGTTAGTTGTTAATGTGTTGATAAATGTTATCCTTACAAAAATGTGAGCGGTGTAAAGTATTTGTTAGATCCATAACTTAAGTGTTCATTTGTTGTAGCTCGTACAACTCCCAACTCAATTATGTAAGTGTATTATTGTATGTGCTTTTGTAAGTTTATTTTTGGGGGTCTGAAATGGACTAATCTAATTTACATTATTCCTTTGGGAACAAATTTGTTCAGTAACAGCACTCAAACAGCCTTCTGGAACGAATTATGGCTGAAACCCGGGGTACCGCTGTATTTGTCTTGCCTACAGACTTGAATGTTTCTTGTGAAGTATGTAGTCGAAGATGCAACATATAGAACAGGTTTACGACTCACGAAATCATAATGACACGATTGCAAACGAACCATACCACGGACGTGAGTCATGTTAACGGCTTTGAGCGGACTTGAGGTAGAGTTTGCCACGGCCACGCTAGCTGGAGATTCGTCTGTAAAAACTTGCATTTGTGGTTACAGTGGTGGCCTATGCTAACCGTCCTATGGTGTAGAAATATACCTAGTTGGACGAATCTTATTGTGGCTAGCTGGTCCAGTGGCTACATGATGGTCTGGAGTTTTGAGACTCTGACCGCGGGTTCAAATCCCATCCGTGGTATGATTTTTTTAGAACAGGTTTTTATTACTAGCCATCAAATGATATAGTACAGACAGTTCTTGTTTTATGATGGGGTTACATTCCAACGAACCCATCGTCAGTTGAAAATATCCTAAGTCGAATATGAATATGTGCTAAATAAATAAGTAATAATAATAATAACAATAATAATTTTATTTCTCCATGGGGAAGTGGACCAGAATTCTTCCTCCGTAAGCCATGCGTGTCGTAAGAGGCAACTGAAATGCTGGAAGCAAGGGGCTAGTAACCCCTTCTTCTGTATAAATTACTAAATTTGAAAGGAGAAACTTTTGTTTTTCCTTTTGGGCCGCCCCGCCTCGGTGGGATACTGCTGGTACGTTGAAAGATGAAAATAATTTTATTTGTACAAGTACAGTGGATCCCCGGCTTATGATATTATTTCATTCCAGAAGTATGTTCAGGTGCCAGTATTGAACGAATTTGTTCCCATAAGGAATATTGTGAATTAGATTAGTCCATTTCAGACCCCCAAACATACACGTACAAACGCACTTACATAAATACACTTACATAATTGGTCGCATTGGGAGCTGATCGTAAACCGGGGGTCCACTGTATATGTACAGGGTATACAGGACTAGCTGACATCAGTGACATATTACTATATAGAAAGCCACTTGTTATGCTGAGCATTTTGCACAAATAAGGTTAGTTTTGTTCAGGATGTGACCCACACCAGTCCACTAACACCCAGGATGTGACCCACACCAGTCCACTAACACCCAGGATGTGACCCACACCAGTCCACTAACACCCAGGTACCCATTTTATACTGATGGGTGAACAGGGGCAGTAGGTGTCTCATGGAAACACGTCCTTAATGTTTTCCAACTATACCGGAAATTCAAACTCCAGACCTCGGTGTGTGAGCTGAGTGCGCTAGCGATCCAACTATGGGACACCGTCGCTGAATACTGTCACTGAATAAATAAACAATAAATTACTGTAACTAAATAAGTGAATACAAGTTATGAACTTTCCAGCTTCATTCTGGGTAATTATCTCAAGTTTTGTCTCCAGAGTAATTGTTTTTTGTACCATCATAATGTTGCAATATCATAAGTCGAGGAGCACCTGTACAAGTACAGTGGACCCTCACTTTACGATCACCTCCCAATGCAACCAATTATGTCAGTGTATTTATGTAAGTGCTTTGGTACGTGTATGTTTGGGGGTCTGAAATGGACTAATCTACTTCACAATATTCCTTATGGGAACAAATTCGTCCAGTAATGGTACCTGAACATACTTCTGGAGTGAAATAACATCATGAGGCGGGGGTCCACTGTATTTGGAATGAATAAAAGCTTTCCATAAATTGGTATTTTATCCTCGAGAAGTGCCATCCGTGCCATGAAAATAAGAGGCGACTCCTGAAATTATTACGTAATAATTCAATTGCAAACAAATCACTGAACGGGTGGGGTCTGAACTCTGCCACACATTCAAACCCTGCCTGTTCTGTGGTTTGATTAAAACGAGAACCATAACAATTACCGTATTTTGCGGCTTATTAGACGCATTTTTTTTCCATGTAATGTCTCCAAAAACCACCCCGCGTCCTATAGACTCAGGGTCAGTAACAGGAGCTATAAGTTTGGAACTGCAGCTCTCCCAGTTACATCCGATGCCGAGCCATTGAAACTATAACAAGTCTTATAAGCCGTGAAATACGGTATAATTTTGATTCCCTCTAGGTGATGTGTTAATTTTTTTCAGAGTCGCAGATCCAGTGGCCAGGAGTTGCCATCTTCCTCCAGAACATGTTCATCTTCTTCAGCTCCATCATCTACAAGATTGGTCGCTCTGAGGAGAACTGGGGCTGAGCTGAGGAGAACTGGACCTGAGCCAAGTAGAAGTGGAATTGAACTGAGAAGAATTGAACCGAAGGGAACTGGGGATGAATTGAGGGGGAACTGGGGATGAACTGAAGGGAACTGGGGATGAACTAAGGAGAACGTGGACTGAACAACCATTTTTTATGAATAAAAAATGCATCTTATTCCTGTTTATTTCAAAAGGCTTCATAATTAATATGCGAATTAGCTTTTATGGATATGTTGCTACATTCTGTGTAAGAGTCGAGGAGGGAGAGTTGAGATGGATAATGGTTGAAGGAACTCTCAACTTACAAATGGTCCTGCCTAACCCACTGCAAAAATCTAAAATAATATTTTCAAATAAGAGTTGCTCCAAACACAGTGTAAATCTAAGAGGACGTCTTCATTGTCCCGGAACCATAACAAACTTCAAGATTCTTCCAGAACGAGCTTCCTAGCTTTCCCTACTTGACTCTACAATGCTGGTAGGATTTGTTATATATATACTGATGTTTCTTATACTTTACAATTAACACATTATAATTCATAAAGTTTATGTAGGTGTTTAGAGTTATCCTTCGATATAGGAACAAGTAAGTTTAGGAATACAATATTTGTGTATCAACCCTTATGTTGGTAAACTCCCTTATGTCGGTAAATTCCCTTAAGTATGTAAATTCCCTTTAAGTTTATAAGTTCTCTTAAGTTTGTCAATTGCCTTTAAGTTTGTAAATTTTGCCTCTGATATACAGGAATGTTATATATACACCTACCATCCAACTAACGACCTGCTCGACTTACGACCGTGTTTTTTATGCCAAATTTCTGGGAAATAAACAAGTATTTGTGTTGTACACAGTGTTTATGCTAAACCTTACAGTATAAAACACAGTACTAACAACATAAAAAGTAAAGTAAAACATGAAATACCAAAATAAAACAATAAAATAAAGTCATTACAAAAATGTTTTGTTGATATTCAGTAGTAAAGTTCGACTTACGACCATTTCGACTTATGACCGGTTTCTCGGAACCGAACTCGGTCGTAAGTCGGATGGTAGGATGTTGATATTCAGTAGTAAAGTTCGACTTACGACCATTTCGACTTACGACTGGTTTCTCGGAACCGAACTCGGTTGTAAGTCGGATGGTAGGTGTATATATATAATTGTACAGCATTTCCATATTTGTCGTATATTTTCTTAATTACAGGAGAGTATGTTGTGTAGTCGTAGTGATATTAATATACTATATACTTTCAGACTATGACCCATGTGGGTTTAGTGCTTACTTGTGATTGCAATAATAATAACACTCTCAGCATAGGTATGTGGCTTTGTTGTTCTCAGTCGATACATTTACATAACCAAGAAATTCATATAAATTTTCCCTTTAAATTGAAAAAAGTTTTTTTTTGTTCAGTATATTGTGATTAATGTACAAAAATATAATTTTTTTTTTTTTGTTTTTGTTTTTTTACACTGGAAATTTACAAGCAAAGACGTGTTAGGCTGCTCAAGACTCACATAAGTTCCACCGTCTTCTAATATGTTATTTTTCCACTATAATCTACCTTATCCATAATTACTATCATAATAAAGTTGGTAGAATTACCGACAATATGTAAAGTAAAAGGACACAAGTGCAACTAATGTGACATTTATTGTGGCAACGTTTCGCTCTCCAGGAGCTTTATCAAGCTAATGGCTTGATAAAGTTCCTGGAGAGCGAAACATTGCCACAATAAATGTCACATTAGTTGCACTTGTGTCCTTTTACTTTACATAATTACTATCGCATTTGCTCTGTCTGCTTTCATAATGTGAAGTCCGGGATCTTTCCTTAATTCATGGTATAACTTAAACAATCTTTGATGATAGTTGTGGAAATATAAACACATATGCAGTATAATGTGATCCTTTATTGACTACGTTTCGCCCACACAGTGGGCTTTTTCAAGTTCTGTTTGTGACTTGAAAAAGCCCACTGTGTGGGCGAAACGTAGTCAATAAAGGATCACATTATACTGCATATATGTTTATATTTCCATTGTGTCGGTATTTTATACCATTTATTTCCATGATAGTTGTGTAGTGAGATTTGTTAAGTTATACCATAAATTAACCCGTAAACGGTCCAAGCAGATCTACGTTCACACGTGTAGAGCTACAAAAGTAGATCTACGTTTTTTTTACATATTTTCAAATATAACAAAAAAAAAGTAGATCAAAGTTTTTTTACACATTTTCAAATGTAAAAAAAACAAAAAGAAGATCTACTTTTTTTACATACTTTCAAATGTTGAAAAAACGTATATATACGTTTGGACCGTTTACGGGTTAAGGAAAGATCCTAGACTTCACCTTACGAAGCAGACAAAGGAAATGCGATAGCAATTGTGTTCAAGGTAGATTATAGAAGAACAATGAATATAGAGGACCCCCGCATAACGATCACCTCCAAATGCGACCAATTATGTAAGTGTATTTATGTAAGTGCGTTTGTACGTGTATGTTTGGGGGTCTGAAATGGACTAATCTACTTCACAATATTCCTTATGGGAACAAATTCGGTCAGTACTGGCACCTGAACATACTTCTGGAGTGAAATAATATCGTAAACCGGGGGTCCACTGTATATTATTAGAAGATGGGGTAGCTTAACATGCCTCTTAAGTTCGTTTCAAAGCCCAGCTACGTCTGGGGTATGACACCTCGTCCTCGTTCACATGAAGATACCACCTACTGCCACTGTCTAATATCCAAGTTCCTGTTGACTAATAAGTGAACAAAGGTAACTGATGTAAGGAGACTTACCTACTGTAAAGTATGTCTCATCCTAGGATATCACCCACAGTAGTCAGCTAACACCCAGGTACCTACTTGCTACAAGTAGCAAATAGGTACCTGGGTGTTGGCAAGTGTAAGGAAACTTATACAGTGGATCCCCGGTTTACGATATTATTTCATTCCAGAAGTATGTTCAGGTGCCAGTACTGACCGAATTTGTTCCCATAAGGAATATTGTGAATTAGATTAGTCCATTTCAGACCCCCAAACATACACGTACAAACGCACTTACATAAATACACTTACATAATTGGTCGCATTCGGAGGTAATCGTTATGCGGGGGTCCACTGTATATTATCTCCTGTTGAGAATGCCACCCACAGCAGTCGGCTAACACTCAGGTACTAATTTGTTTGGTTTAGGAAGACACGTAAGCAAACACTATGACATATTTATTAGAAAACGTTTCGGTCCTGGGACCTTGATCAAGGTCCCAGAACCGAAACGTTTTCTAATAAATATGTCATAGTGTTTGCTTACGTGTCTTTCTAAACCAACTTGTCGGTATTTATTACCAAGGTTTATACCACTAATTTGTTTGTAGATAAACAGACAACAGGTGTTCGGGAACACGCCCAGCACCACTAGCGCAAGGACTGAACCTAGGTCCTTCATTTGTAAGGTGCAAGTACTATTTTTACTACTAATGCTGTTGCTACTTAAACATGAGCCATTCATCAGGTGTGCCCATCCAGTTATATGACCACAAGCTGAGGAAACCAAACTATGGAACAGGTGCGGCTTGAACCCCTGGCAAGCAGGTCATAAAACTCCAGGCCAGCACTTTCAACACTTGTACTGGCCTGGAGTTTTAGTCTTCGCTTGCCATAGGTTCAAATCCCACCTGTTTTGTGGTTTGCAATAATATTATTAAGATTTCTTGAGTCCCAAACTAGTGCTAGTCAAGTTAATACTTGTCAGTGCATCCAGTATACTGTACACAGGGCGGATTTAGACTTGGGGGGGCCCGGGAACTTCAAGTTGGGGGGCTTCAACGTGGAAAGTTAATTGAATTACAATAAGCAAGACTAAATTCAACACATTGTCTGGCCGAAGTTTTAGTTTCTAAGTGCCTAGTTTTCAAATCCTCTTTTTGGTTGTCAATATATTATTAAGAGGGTTGGGAGCACCCATCTAGTCTATTTTCTGAGTTACAACTTTGTTAATGCATCCAATAACTGTACACAGGGACCGGTTTACGAACACCTTGTGGTGGCCGTCGGAACTTTAGTCCCTTAAGGACTAACGTGAATTAATTGTATTAACCCAAAATAAGCAAATGTACTTACATAATATAAACACAATTGTCCCCAGAGAGTGATGTTAGATTTCAGTAGTCCCTGATTTTATATTTGTTATTTAGTGAAGTCTTGTTATTGCAGGGGGGGCGGGGAGCCCCCTTATATTTCGTCTATTATATCATGATGTGTCCTCCCACACAACAGATCTACGTTTCATAATGTAAACAAAGTAGATCTACGTTTTTTTTACATATTTTCAAATATAACAAAAAAAAAAAGTAGATAAAGTTTTTTTACACATTTTCAAATGTAAAAAGACAAAAAGAAGATCTACTTTTTTTACATACTTTCAAATGTTGAAAAAACGTATACAGTGGACCCTCGACTAACGATATTATTTCATTTCAGACGTCTGTTCGGGTGCCGTTACTGACCGAATTTATTCCCATAAGGAATATTGTGAAATAGATTAGTCCGTTTCAGACCCCCAAAAATTCACGTACAAAAGCACTTACAAAAATACACTTACATAACTGGTCGAGTTGGGAGCTGATCGTTAGTCGAGGGTCCACTGTATATACGTTTGGACCGTTTACGGGTTAACCTGCATAATGTACCGACAGCAAACCCACTCACTCATATCTACTGACATAAACAACAACAAGGCACAATACCACGACTGAACAATACACAAATAACTCACACATAGAAGACAGGAGCTTATGACATTGTTTCCAAGTCGGACCGCAACATTGTCACCAGTTTCTGTCTCCTATGAGCCAGTTATTTGTGTATATGTGCAATTTAAAATAAAATAACATGAGAACGATGTGAATCCACCGCATTGCCCATTAATTCTGTTTAATTTACAGTTTAATGGATTTAATTTTCATAGATTTTATTAGCAATTTGGTTCAGATTATATTTAAAAAAAGAATGATGACTACAATATGTAAGTGTAGGATAAATCATTATTATATTCGATACTTAAATAATTTATCAGTTATTCTCGTTTTGTTTCTCTGTCATTAAATGTAAGGGATGAATTTATTGAAATAAACAGTATATACTTTTATATGGAATTTATTATA